GTGTATTTTAAAAGATTTAGTATTAACAATATGTATAAAACTAAAACTTTGATAGTTGGTAAAGAGGGCTTTACACTATCCTCTATCGTTTCGTATGTACTCGTATTTGACTCTACATCTTGTTTAAAACCTACCACTTTTCATATACATGATGATTCAGGATTCGCGCCTCAGATGTTAATGTCAAGTAAGTTAAGATACCAGGAACATAGAACAAATGTTTAAAAAATTATCAATAAAAATTTAGAAATTATGGGGGTTCAAATTTTGACGTTTGACTCTACCTCTGTTGGCAAAACAATTTGACATGTTTTTTTTTGCTGCAGGCTTTTATATGAGGAAAGAAAGAAGCTGCATCCTGAATTGTAATTACATATTAAACATTTTTTTCATGTTCGTGGTTTGAAATTTTTTTCTGGGGCGCGAGTTCACACACACTCTTTTGGTGAGTTTCTACAAAAACGTAGTGGTTACAAAATATTTTAAACTGAATTGACAGTAAGTGGCAATTGCTACAATTGTTACCATAGATATTGCTACTTAGTAACTGTTAATTGACAGTTACTAAGTGGCAATTGCTATTAATAGTAGGTATACCGGGTATTTTAAAAGTCAATGAAGATAATTCAATTCAATTCAATTCAATTGAAAAAAAATTGCCACTATTACGTTTTCGCAGAGGTTGCAATGATAATATTTTTGTATAAATTTGATAGAGCTTTATAGAATTATGCCCTTTTGAGCGCTTGTCGCAATTGTCCTTCTCTTTTTCTCTCTCGTTTCGCGTCCTTGTCTCGTGTCTTTCTATTCCGTGGTGCAAACGATCGTCGGTGGCCTCTGACGGGCGACCATCTGGCCGGTGGCATTCCTCTGTTGTAGCACTACTTGTGCGGTATTATTTATGGCGCGACTCTGGCGCCAGCTGGCCACGGTCACTGATCCAGCCAGTGGCGCACAGCATCCTCAGCCCCATCTTTTCACACCCACGAAAATCTTATCTCCCTTTGTATAGATATTTCGACAAAGTCAGAGGCGGCGACAGGTGTTGCACCGTCACAAATTCCACGTTAATTGAAAACAAAGCGACCGTTTAAACTAATTTTAGAACGCGTTTGTATCAATGCGCGTTTTATGGCGCACAGCTGGACGCTAAAATAATATCCCAGGATTCCCCCGGATAAGAAAACATGCACATGTGGATAGGATTATAAAGTGTCGCTGTCATTTTGGATTTCTTTTTTTACCAGGTTTAAACGATATGAGAACTTGTTTACATAACTTCGGGTTTCGAGTGGCAAAAGGCGAGTTTTAAAATCGATAATGAGAAATGTCAATGGTGTGACAGGTGTCAAGTTGCGCTGGCAATAAGTAAATAAAAGTAAAACAACTGGCGACAGGTGGGGTTTACAAGTGGGGAAAAATTATTATTGATAGCATCAGGGAAAGTGGAAGACAAATACAAATAATTCGGTTATTATTGGAATAGTTATTTTAGTTTTCAATTTATTGTCATTGAAGTAACGGGTACTTTTACGACAAATATCGTAAAAGTGACCCTCAAAGTTAAATAGCAATTCGGCCAAATTATTGAATTACGTATTTCTCGAGTAAAACCGTAAACAACTTCACTGACAGGACGTCCCGTTGACAAATACAATTAATTTCCGGTCATAGCGGAACGTCAGAGACACGCATAGAAATTTGGGAAATGGGGATTTGAAATGATTTACATCGTTTATTGTTTCCGTATTATTGCCGATTTAGTTATGAAAGTATATTATATGATGAATCCGCCATTTTGAATTAAAAGTCTATGAAAGGCAACAAAACAAAAGTATCCATGGTGATACGTTGCTAATTATTGACACTTTGATTCAAAATGGTGAGCAAAACTACTAATTACAATTGCGGACACGGAATTTTGGACATTAAATTTATGTCATTTCACAAAATGTCAGTCTAAGCCATGCTTTATTGTCATTACGATTGACGTTTGAAACTGGAATTTCAAAGTTTCAGTTGTTTATTTTTGGAGATGATTTTCCGAAACAATAATGTCAGCAATATGTGTTTTTATATAAGATCAATAAATTATTTTGACTTGTCATTTTTTCTCTATGGGTCAGGATGAAAATTACAAAACCCAAAAGTAAGATTACTTGCATTTTTAAGCTAAATTGATGTGCAAACCTCTAGTTAAAATCTCGAATTGCGACTAAAAATGAATTCAAATGATATTAATTCTGCTATTTTAAAATACGGTTTGAATACTTTGAATCTTGACATTTTTTGAAATTTTCAATTTTTTGGGGCAAAGGTACAGAATTTTTTTGTAAAATAATTTAGAATTTCCTGTTCTGCTTACACTGCTTCAAGGGCGGATCCAGGGGAGGGAGCCCCCCCCCCCCCAAACTTGCCACCAAAAGCTTCAATTTTTTAAATTTAAATTTTAATATAAAAATCTTATGACCTAAAGTTTTTGAAATATTAGAATTCTTTTTAAATCACACTTATTAATACAAATCATACATATACCTACCGAGAGATCGAAATAATTTGTAATCATTTTTGGATCCGAAAACGTACAGTTCGGAATTAAAATTTCGGGCAGTACTGTCATTTTCATAATGTAAACTCTAAAACAACCTTTATATTAATAACCTCATTTTTTACTCTTGTCATATTTATGTCATTTTGACTTATTTACTTTCAAAAATAGTGATTTGTGGCATAATAACGGGTAGGCAGCAGATCTTAATAAATTTCCTAAGACAGACAAATTGTTTAAATAACAAATTTAACAACAAATAAAAATAAATTTAATTGTCAAATGTCAGTCATGATGATAGTAAAAGGTATTTTACAGTGAACTTTTTAAAGTGACAGAAAAATAGGTACTGCCCGAATTTTTAATTCCACAACTGTACGTATGTCTGTTTTTGAACTAACTGCACGTGAAACGTCAAATAAAATGACAAGTCGAAAGCGGCAAAATGGACTGGAATTAGTCGCCGACGTATAATAATAAGAGCGTCCTTTTTTGAAGGTAAATCATAAATTTAGTTATCTTTTTAATCATGAGATTTTACCTTTTCACTTGTCATTTTATTTGACGTTTCACAGACATAGGCACAGGACATACGTTTTCGGATACAAGGACAAATTATCTTGATCTCTCGATACAACTTCCTTAGTTTTTACTAATTTAAAAAGAAATCATCAATTGTTATTTTCTTTGGGCCACATCTTAGGTATTTCATTAAATTAAGTTTATATCTCTTTGAATAATGAACTTTACCAACTCGCTAGAACACCTTATACACAATTTTCAACTTGTTTTAAAATTCTACACTTTTTGGTTTTTGGGTAATGACGGCAGCGACATTTTTTTTAATGGAAACCCCTATTTTTTTAGCGAATTCGATAGATAATTGTCGAAATGGCAACACCAAAATATTATGTATTACATAGTTAAAAAAAATTATCCAAAAAGTGAAATACTATCAATAAAAAACAAAGAAACAATTTTAAATCAAGTTAAAAATTTTGTATTTTTTAAAAAGAAAATTGACCTGTTCGAGCATTTTTCCAAAATAAAATATTTTCAGTTTTAATAAATAAGATTATTCTATAATTTTGCCGCTCACTGTATACCCTCATCATTTAAAATTTTTTTAGATAGCCCCCCACCCAAAATTAATTCCTGGATCCGCCCCTGCACTGCTTACTGTTTTCAGCTTTCTACATATGTATTTATAAAATTATTCCCAACAAATATGAGCAGTATTTTAACAAACGACCGATTTTTACACTAACAGCAAAATTGCACATTCTAGTTGTAGTAAGTGTGACTAGGAACATTAAAAACAGGTGCTTTTACAAATGACACTTATTATGACTCTATTATTGCCAACATATGAAAATCTTAAGATCCTTTAGCAGGAAGATGAGAAATCTGACAACAAACAGGTGTTTCCCCAGACTGGTTATAAAATATGCCGGGAACATAAAATCTGACAGAAGCCGTTTTAGTCATAATTTTTACGCTTCGTGTCAACATAAAAAATTTTACGAAAACAATAATTGACGCATTTGACAGCTAATTGTTAGTCGCAAGGTCTGAATTAATTAATTAAACCATAATCCAAACTAAAAACTTGAAAAACCGGTACTTACCGGTGCTTTCCTCGGCGTATTGACAAACTGACTACCAACCAAATAAAAATAAATGTTCAATGCGAAGCGGAACTGATAATAATTACATTAACACATGAATAATTTAATTCGCTGCGAAGGAGATTTTCACAAGTAAGTGCGGTGATAAGATAATGACAATTAATAAAATGTAACAGTTGTACACGCCTACTAACATGTGATAAACTGAAGCGGAAGATACAGGTGCTTCCTGCTAACACCGGTGCAAAAATTAAAAGTGGGCCAATTCCTGCGACCATCTGACACACAATAATAAGGATAATAAAAAGGAAGTTCAAGCGACAACTGGCAATGGCGAGCCATGAAGAGCCGTTATGTATTGACCGCTGTAATAAAAGAAAAGGCAATCACTTCTAGCCGATTTTATTCATGTAATTCAATAAAACTAAAACGAATTTATTGTTGGTGATTTAATAAATCTAGTCCTGCTGACAACCCGTTAAAACTAATTGAATTGTCTCAGCACTGAATTAAAAAAGCGATTTTTTCGTTAAGTAACAGTACAATTATCTAATTGGTAATTATATATAGCAAGTACGCGGCCCAAGGTCGTTTCTTGACGACACTTTCTAATGAATCCAGTGCTGGCGCCTCGACTTTTCCAAAACTGTTAATTATAAGGATTTGTTCGGCGTTAAATGACCTCCGCCCCGTTCCGCTAAAATCGTTCAGGTCTTCGATTAGGCCCTCTTTATAATCTCTCCGGCGCGCACCTGCTGCCAGAAGCATGCATTCCAAACCCAGCAAGACTGTTACTTCTCACACTAACAGCGGCGAGACAGCTGGCGCCAACATAGGGCGCCCACACCCCTCCTATTCACATTTACTACACAACATTTCATGTCAACTTAGTATAGTTTGGAGCTCCAGCAAGTGCACATCGCCGATGCTTCTGGTAATATGATGACGAACGGAAGCGCGCGAGCCGGCCTCCAACCCCCAGAGATGCTCGACTTCTTCGAGGAGGTGCACTCGCCCACCGACTCCAGCGAGGACAGTGTCGAGGTGAAAATCTCCCCGATCTCCTGCCGGAATAAGCGCAAATGCGCCGAACCCCGGAAAGTGCCGGAAACCTTCTCCGGACCTTTGAAAAAACGCATGTGCTTGAAAGTGAAAGCGGAGAGTGAGGCGCCCTTCAGGCCGTGGAGCCCCAAGACTTTCGTCGCGCCGGCCGCCCCCGCGGGGTACTTCCGGCCCCCGTCGCCGGTCAAGGACGAGCCAGTGGCCCTAGTGAAGAAACGCGAGGAGGCCCCTCCGAGGGTCCCAGTGCACCCCCCGGCCGTGCTGAGCGATGTTGACACCGAGAGGATCATCCAGAGCTCCGCGGATGCATTCCCCGGGTTGGTGCAGCCCCGTCGGGAGCAGAGAAATTACAAGAATATGACTCGCGAGCGGAGAATTGAAGCCAATGCGAGGGAGAGGACGCGAGTGCATACCATTAGTGCGGCGTTTGATACCCTTAGAAGGGCCATTCCGTCCTATTCGCACAACCAGAAACTGTCGAAATTGTCTGTGTTGCGCATCGCATGCTCGTATATAATGACTTTGTCGAGTATTGTGAACGGGGATGAGGGTGCCGCCGCGGACTGTGTTGATCTCGTGACGAAAACGATCCAAAGGGAAGGGAAACTCCGGAAGAAGAAAGACGACAATGACTGAAGTTCCTAATTTGTTGCCATTATTTGTACTTATGTAAATAGTCTTTATTTATTTCAACAAGAGTTACTTTATAAATTGAGTTTTATTTCAACCTTGGAACAGGTGCAGAAAAGAAAGTTTCAAACTGAAAAAAAGCCGTTTGTTAGATTCAACGAGAAAGTGTAGGTGGAATAACGAGTGAAATATTTAATTATTATCAAAAGTTGTGTGTGTTATGTACTTATGTTTATGCACATCATCATTGCATTTTTTGGAAGTGTCTGAAACTGAGATCCAATTACTTAACTCGTTTTTATTTCTTATTTATGCGACGAAAAATGTTACATCGCGAAAAATTGCAATAAAATATTCCAAAAGACTTACTCAACTGTTGTAAACATTGAATCATTTTAATATAAGTCGTACAGGTCAGGGACCAATATTTATTTGCAATAACGCGAAAACAACAGAGAAGTGAATTTTTTTAATAAATGTTTTCATTTTACGGCTGAATTATTTCTGTGTTCAAAAATTACTTTATTAAGGAGTCAATTTTGCGTGTTACTGAACCTAGATATCAATAAAAAAATATAAACATTTTAATTGCTACAGAAAAATCCGTGTTTAGTCTAATAATGAACAGAAAGGAAGAAAACTCTTCAAAATAGAAACACATTTAAACAAACATCGGGAAAGTGTTTCCAGTGTAAATATTAGTAATTGTATGTAAATTATATTGAACAATGAACAATAATTAAATATTAACAAAAACATTCATTTAGAATTTATTGTGCAGGCAACCAACAATACACCACTGTTTGCCTAATGTATTTTCAGATAATTCTGAACTGTGATTCTAAACAAATTAATTCAAAACATTTAGATTTAATTAATAGAACATTATTGAAAAATGTGTTTTGGAAAAAACTTTACTAATTAAATGCAAGCGTCAAAAATTTGGTAAGGTATGTGCCTAATTCGTCAAGACGATCAACGAAGAATTTATAATAATTAAGATCACATTTAATTAAAAAAAACATTCATGCCACAGTTTATGTTAAACCAATATCAGTTTTTTTGAGAGTATAATAAATGACAACGTAACAAGTGTCTGCGTAAAAACGTGGTCAAGAGTACTGTGAATATTTCGTTAACGTATATTCTGGCTATTTTTAATAAAATGTCAAATTATTTCAGGGATATCATAGAGGGTAAGCAGAACGATGTAATGATGTTACCGAGAAAGTTGTTAATACTAATTTTTAGTTTGTGTTACAAAAAATGGTTTTAATCAATATCTATCACAGGAGAGGTGTTGAAAAAGTGGTAAATTTGACAGATACTGACATAGAAATCAAAATTGAAGACGTACGTTTACAAAGTTTTCAGAGCACTCTTGGCCACGTTTTTATTTAATAATTTTTATTCAGTAAGTAGCCTTGACCCACTTATAATCTGCCTACCTATCAATTAATATTTATTTTTAAATTTAATTTTCTAAAATTGTTTTTATAAACGACAAATATTATTAAAAACTAATAATTAATAACTCTTGTAATACAGAAAGTTAGTCAAGTACTATCCCGGCGCATCCACCATTTATGACGTATTTTTAATGGCAAACATTATTTTTTTCCACAGTAATATAATAATATCGAATATAGGTTTAATAGTACATTACAAGCGAGGTGGTAAATATGGCATTACCCCGAGTGCTTATGTATACGATCGAGAGGCGCCAGCCTCGTGATCGGATAAAGCACAAGGGGTAATGCCATTACCACCGAGGTTTTGTATGCTATTTTATTCACAATCATATTATTTTCAGTCAAAAATTTGAGTAAAATAAAATTCTAACAATCCAAACGTGGTAGGCCATCCAAATGACGTTTGATTTTTGACATTTCAGAAATGTCAAAGAAAATATTGAAATAATGTGTAAATCTGATTTAAAGTCGTCGAAATGGAGCAATGTACTCTCCCAGAATTAAGAGAAACTGCTACAAAAGCAATTGAATACTAATTTAACGAAATATTATGCGTAACTTGACAATCTGAAAGAAAAAATTTCCAGTATTTTCGTAATTTTAACGTTGGCAATCCTGCATATTACCACCCAAGAGGAGTAACATTTTGTTACTCTTCATGAGAAATAATGACATGTTTCCCAACCTTAAAAAGGTTAGTAATCGGCATATTACATTAGTGATTGTGAATAAACATTAATTTCAACCAAATTTTAACGGCCATTTTAAAAATGTAATGGTGTGACTTACACTCCCTTGGATTACAACTTTTTATTGGTAGAAATCATGTAAGGGCGGGACATTAATCAAGTTATATAGACTATAGTAAATTTAACAATGAATTAACTCCGACAATCCGACATCAGAAAAAAAAAGAACTAGGATGCTTACATGATATTAGAGGAGTATTCCGTCAATTCAAAGACGTTTACGTAAACGTTTTATTTTTTAATTTCTTAGCAACGGCCATTTGTCGTAATATGTTAAACTTTTTTACGGTTTGCACAAACTCTCTAATATAAAAATTAATAGTTCTGTTTCTTTTCTCAAAAAAAGCTTGAAAAATATGTTGTGTTTAGCTGAAAGCCTTCTACATATCACCATTCGAGAATCGGTCCCACATTTTTAAATGACCCTGTATAATAACGTATTTTGTCCATTTTGACAATTTTTTTTATAACAATTTCTGAATTTAGTAAAACTTCTAACACACAAGTTGTGTAGTCTAAAAATCTGGGTCAATTAAATTTTTACTCCCCAACGATCGCTAGAATTTAAACAATTTTTAAACTGTCTTAAAATTCTTCGTGTTTTTTATATCTAGCTGTAAAACATTGCATTTTTATAAAATACATACGAGTACAATGGCAAATAGTATTAAAAAAAATAAAATAAGTTTAGTTTAAAACTTAGTTTTCTCTACATCTTTTTATTATTTTAAAAAACATCAGTCGTATTTTTTTGATTTGAAGTATAAATAAAACTGAATAAAATTTGGTAGATTTCTTTCAAATTGAAAAAAGAGTAACATCAGATGAAAGACGACACAGGTGTATTATTCGAATTTTGTAAAACAAAACAAGCGTCTTTCTTTTATCTATTTATCCAGATAATAACATCCTAAATTCAATACTCAGGAGAAGTCTTAAATTATATAATAAAACTTGACGAAATAAAAGATATTGGTTTTCCCGGCGCATCCACCATTTTACAACGACAAATTTAACCTTGATGTATCCTCATTTGGACACATCTTTATTAATTCAAGGCGCTTAACTCCTAGTAACTTTTAAAGAAAAATCTTAAACGTAATTACCAAACTTCGTTTATTATTATAGGTTTAGGTCTACATTTAACGTATTTTTAAATTAACTTTCTATTATATAATCTCTTGTTAGCTATCCAAATTATTAGTATTCATACAGTTATCATGACAGAACTGAAATATTTTAAAGGAATTGTTTTTATCCTAAAATGGTCACTTTTATACCCACTTGATACTAAATCCTGGTTGAAAAAATGTTTATATTTTATTTGGGCATTATTTTACGTATTATCGTTTATTTTAACGATTATTCAATGCTCGATGTATTTATACAAAACACCATTTAATTTAATTGAAGAAGCTATGATCATAATGAATACTGGTATGTGTGTGAAAATATATGTAATCCGAAAAATATTTAACTTTGTAGCTATATATTTTACCTTATTTATAAATTTCACGGTACTCTACAATAAGCGCATGAAATTATCACATTTTGTTGAAGATTTTCATAAAAAATGTTTTGATGAAACAGATAACAAAATAGAAAAAATAACAATGAAGAAATCGTCGGAATTGTCTGATAAATTGGTGTTTTATTGGACTTTTAATTGCATAGCTAGCAGTTTAATGCCCACGATTGCATCACTACTTGGAGGGAATAAGTAATACTTCCGTTTAAATATATGAAATGTGTAATAATAATTATATTACAGGGATTTACCAATGGTGGTTTGGTATCCATACGACCCAAACAAAACTCCCTATTTTCTGTTAACTTACATTTGGGAAATTTTCTGTCTGAGTAATTTAGGATTAATTTACGCCGTTTTAGACATGGTTTTTCCCAGTATTGCAATAGTGTTGGGTCAACAATTTAAAATTTTGGCCAGTAATTTCAAAAATAATGTCTACAGAGCTCTTATAGATTCTGAAGTTTCGGAAACAATTGTACAAAACTTCAGAAAAAACTTGTACAAGAATTCGTTTCCGGAAGAAATTTTACACATTATGAAAACCGAAGAGTTTCAAAAAAATAACGTAAACTATTTCAAAAAGAATATCAAACACCATCAACAATTATTGCAATATTGTGACGATATTAATGATATTTTGGGTATTTTCCTCATGGGAAAAGTAACAGCGGCGATTTTTAACACACTCTTTATGGCTTTCAGTCTAATTACGGTAATGTTTGCAACTGTTTTGTGTAAATATTTTTGTAATTCCAGGCAGGTAACCGAGCTATGATTTTTGGATTGGGCTCTTATATGATTTCAACAAGCATTGAATTGTTGATTTATACATACAGTGGTCAAATCCTGACTCAGGTTTCAAGAAACTGTAATTAAAACTGTTTACGTTTTATATTTTTTCAGAATGCCGACATTGTTGGAAGCCTTTATGAAAGTCCTTGGTACATGTGCGACGTCTATTTTCAACGAACATTTCATATTGTTCAAATGCGGGCAAGTAAAATTGTGACCGTTAAAGCAGGCAATTACTTTACAATGTCCGCCTCCTCGTTTATAACAGTAAATTTGTCGATTGTTATTGCTTTTATGTGAAGTAAATTGATATTTTCAGTTCATGAAATCACTCGGATCGTATATAGCACTTCTGAAAGAGTTAACTGATAGGGGAAAATAAAATATAAACATATTCCATTTTAATTTAATTTCACACGTCGTAGAATAAAACATAAACACTGATTTATTTTTAAACTTCTTGTTAGATCTTCTAATGATGAACACAAACACAATTTAAACCCAACACACCCAACTTTTATTTTAAACACAACGCGTTTTAACCACAAAGTGGTAAACCTCCAAAAAACTTGAAAATTTTTATGTCTCTAAAGTCGCTCCTGTTTTAAGTATCTAGCAAAAAAAAGAGAACACCAAACAATGATGTTCAAATTTTGAATGAATAATATCCATGGCAACAAATGACCATGCTCACACAACAAAGTAACCATCATCTGTATGTATAATCTCTAATCTAAGTTACATAAAAGTAATACAGTTTATTTATTAATTTATTATAGGTATCTTAAAAGAATTACATATCTGGACGTACCCACCAATTAAATTATATTATTACAATTTTTTATTAATTTTGCGAATAATGCTTTTCAGCATTCAGCAGAAAACACATCAACTTTTGCAAAATAACTTTACTCCTTATTTATTTATCAATTAGTTCAAGTTTTAATTGTCCACTCTATCAAGGTAAAACCTTCCTCAACCAGCTGCCAATTTTTAGATCATAATTACACGTATAACTCTTCTTCATTAATCACACGTCTTGCATGTCAACGTTGACCCACTTTAAACTTGTCTTTAGTGCACTATTTAAAGCTTCATTTTCCACCAACGCAGACATTTGTGGTCACAATGGCAAAACTGAAGTATCTCACAGGAGCAACTTTCGTTCTAAAATGTGTAGTTATGTACCCAATTGACTCCGACAATTCAAAAATAAAAAAAGTCTTGTATGCAATTTGGGTATTTCTTTTTTTTTCAAGTTTTGTAACTGCATTTCTTCAATGTCTTGTTTTTGTTTGCGTAACTCCTTTTGATTTGGTCAAAGAAGCTATGATTTTGATGCGTTTAGGTAAGTGAGCCTCTTTTGCAAAATAGTTTAACCAAAATTTTAATTTTTGCAGTTTTCTACTCAACCACGTTTTTTTATTTTATTATTTTTTATAAAAATTGGCCAAATATGACCGCGATTATCACAAAAATCAATACAAATTTTCACGAAGTCACTGATAATATAATTGAAAGAATTTCAATGGATGAAGCGAGTGAATTTTCTGACAAAGTAGCATATGTATGGACTTCATGTATGTTCGTTTGTTCTGTAGTGCCGGTACTTCTAGCCTTAGCTAGTGGAAATTTGTAATCAAAAAATTATTTTAAATTAATAGATTCCAGAATATTTTTTTAGGGAAATGCCGTTACCAGCTTGGTTTCCATACGATTACAACAAATCTCCAATTTTTGAAATAACATATATTTGGCAAGTTTTCTGTTATATAACTTTGGCAGTTATGTATGGTACATCCGATATATTTTTTTATTGCATTACAATAGTAATTGGACAACAGTTTAAAATCTTGGCAAGTAATTTTAAAAATAATTTCTACACGACGCTCATAAAATTAGGAGTAGATGAATCCACCGTTAGGAACTTCATAGAGGATATTAAAACGCAAGAGTAAAATGTTTTAATTGTTAAAATTTTGAATTGTTAATATTTTTTTTAGCTTGCAGTCATTTTACATTAAATATAGCAACATTTTCAAAATTCTAAACAACGCAAAGTTTCACACCATGAATCTGGAATATCTGAAACGAAACATAAAACATCACAACATTTTGTTGAAATACTGCAAAGATTTAAACAAAGCATTAAACTTATTTTTATTAATTCGAGTTTCAGCAAACGTCTCCAATTTAATTTTCATCGGTTTTAATTTAATAATTGTATGTGTTTTGTTTATAAAGTTATGACTTTAATTCAATTTTTAGGCGACTGATATAACCGTAATTTTAGGTTTTTTCAATTACTATTTCTTCGCAAGTCTTGAATTGTTTACACATATTTACAGTGGCCAACTGTTGGCGGAGGTTTGTCAAACATTTTTATCACTGACTAGAGTTAATTCATATGTCGTTATACAAATTATATATTTTAGAAAACTGATTTTCTGTGGATTTTATACGAGTGCCCTTGGTATTTTTGCGATGTTACTTTTCAAAAAATGATGATTCTTGTTCAGATGAGAATAAAAAAAGCGTTTGTGACCAAAGCTGGAAATTTTTTTACGCTGCTTGCACCGACTTTCATTGTTGTGAGTAAAATATATTTTGTTTTGCATTTTGTGTTCTAACAGAAAATTCCTAAGTAGTTTCAAAGAGTTGTGTTCTCGTATATTATCGTACTGAGAGAACTGTCTCAAGAAGAAAACAATTAATCATAAAAAAGCGACTCAAATTATAAAAATTGATATGACTGCAAAAATGTAATTTGTATAGCTTCAGTTATACAGGGTGTTGCACATAATTTTACGTAACTTGCGCCTGTAAAATGCAATCAATAATACATATTCCGATACGAACTCGATTATAAATTTTGAAAAATTTGATAATTTTCTCTAGTTTGTTCACCCTTTAAAAAATTACAAAATTTTTACTTAGTTAGTAATTAAGATAGATAAACTAGAATCATATTCACGCCGTCTCTTGATATAACAAATGATAATTGTTTCTGAAAAACTGCAGTTTATGACTATTAATAAAACAGTGATTAGTTTGTCAACTACTGTCATGGGTTTCCAAAAATTAGATAATTAAATGTGTTTTTTTGTATCCAGTGTTTTGTGAATTTTGTATATTTGGGTGCGTACATTAGGCGCAAGCCTTGTAAAATTGTGGCCTGATTTATTTAAAAGCCATGCACTGTCCACTCTTTAAAATTGTAAGTATTTTTAGAAAATATAGAAAGTTGCAAATTCTTGTTTTCTTGTTATTTTTGCACCACAAAAACAAAAATTAAAGCTTTCTCTTGTTAGTTTAATTCTTTACTATAGACAACCAACAATACAGAACGACACAGAAGCTAAATAACAATTTAATTGAAAACAATATTTAGGTAATTAGAACGCAGTGTAAAAAGACAATATAAAATTTATTGTTGAACAGTACGGAGACGCAAGAAACGGTCCTGGCGAAGTACCGGGGAATGGGGAGTACGCAAAGAGAGCTTTTTGAATAAATTCGTTTTGTATTAACCAAATAAGCCACTTGTTTTTTCTTTTTCTTAATTATTTAAATTAATTTTCCACAAGATGATCTTCGAATTTTGATAAAAAACTAAAGCAAAAGCAAAAGGATGGCAGTGTTAAAACTATAAATGACTTTTCTCTTTCATTGTCGTGGATATTTGTAATACGCTGTAATTTTATCTTAACAAAGGAAATAATTCCAATGACCCTCAAACTTTATGTTAATATTTTCGACATAAATAACACTTCTAATAATAATAATTCTGCGAGTTTTTTTCTCGGTTACACTATTTCTGCACTCTTTTATTACCAGGTTAATTTTCAACTCCAAAACCGTAACACCTTCTATTCGTGCTATTATTGCTTTGTTTTGTGAATTTTGTTAAGCTACTGACAAAATTAACAGAAATAATGCTAAAACCCCTACAGTTTCATCAGTTTTTGTACCTTTGAAATTATTATTAAAAATAGTTATCGAGAGGAAAATTGACTTGACTGAACATGTTTTGAAGAAAGAGAAAAAATTACCCAGAAATTCTAATTAGAGAACAAATATTTCGAAGAAACAATTTCAACAATAATAAATAAAATAACCAAATAATTATACTATTATACTATATTGCATGTTATTAGTTGACAGTTTCGGCAAAATTCATTATAGTCATAGTACAGAATATTTTCCTTTTGGTTGCGATCCTCCTCAAAACCATCTGAACTCTAAACCTTCCGGGCCAAAAAGGTGTATCATGGTAAGTGATAAATGGATGCCTTATCATCGAATAATTTCCGGCTGGAATGGGGCATTTATCTGGATTTTTCCAACCTAAAGCTTTTCCTGTCCTGATCATGTTTTCCCGTCCATATCTCATGCCGATATTGTTACAAGGATCTTTCTGCCAGGATAAAGAAGGAAGCATTTTCCAGTCTCCTTCAGTGTATTTTTCCACAAAAATTGCACCTTCTGCAGTTTCGTCCAAGGGATGAGCAAAAGTAAAATCGATGCTTATGGCACGATGGGTGCGATTGAACCGATCGATTCGGAAAAGTCTCATGGGGACTTCGAGTTGGTTGTTATCAGGACATAAATAACCGCCTTCCAGATCCGCTTTGACGTTGCTTGTTAGCTACAAAAAAAACTATCTTGTTTAACATTTTATCATTGTCTGACTGAGACTCACAAAATTGCCGTTTATGGTGGTTTGAGTCAAAAAAAGTACGAAAAGAATAGGTCGGAATAGTTGGAGATTCATTGTGATACTAATATTTTTACAAAAATGTAATTAAATTATAGGTTTGCAATTGATATAATGTAATGCCAGGTATTATTACAATGAACAAAACGATGTCAGATTAGATGAGATAAAATTAATTTTTTTTCAAACAACGAACGAAAAATATTATTTCAGTATTTGTTTTCGGCCGACATGAGGATTCAGTTGCAACACAGATTCTTCTTTGACACAAAAATCAAGAGTTTTTGACCTGTTTCCCCTCAAAAAACGCAGTTGTCAGCGAAGTGATAGCTATGGTACTGGATATTAGTTTTGCAATCGACTGTTGGTATAAAAGATTTTTTTCTTTTTGAAATAAATACTATACTATACTCCAACTAACAATTTATTCATTCTTGGTCACTAATAATTACAATTTAAAAAAAAATAACTTTAGTGTTATGAACAAAGTCTGTATTCCATTTCCCAACATCCTTTTCAATGTTTTCAGTACTAAAACCATTTCACACTTGCACATTCCTCTTACTTCTTTCGTTATGGTTGTTAATATTGTTTCCTTCTTCAACAACTCTCCTACTTCTTGATGGAATCTTAGTTTCCTCAAAGTGGAAGCAGGACTTGTAGAAGTGAGACTCTCTGTTATAGTAACAGAAAATATCTGAAAAGAAATATTGTTAGCAATTTTCTCTGCTAAATCAGTCGCTGTCTTATAAGAAATATAATTTATTAAAACATTCACTCAAATAAAACAAAACAATACCAGGAATAATTATTGCAATATTGAATCTTCAACTCGTGCTTATAATCCATTTTCATCCATTCCTTATTCCATTGTAATTGTATAGGAGACTCTGGTGAAGGCAATTCCATTTCCAAATTTTCTAAACACAGAAAAAAGTATAATTAGTAATATAAACTTACTCCAAAGAAAAATGCCATGTAAGGTAATATACCAGGAACATGGAGAAAATGTTAAAAAAGTTTTATCTACAAAAATTTAAAACTATGAGAGTTAAAATTTATACCTTTACGATGACGCAGAACCAAGCATTGATATCTATTTTCGAACAGATCGTCAAATCAAATGGCACGAGGACTGAGGCGCCTAAGAGAAATCGACAGTCAATCAACGCAGACGACGATTAAATAATCAATTGTCAAATTGTTTCAATGTTGGTAACTTCATTTAAAATTAGCGTTCTTAGGTGCTTCTTAGTTGACACTCTAACAAGGTTCCAACATAATTTCAGAATTTTTGACATTGACTTAAAGAAAAAATAAGCTTTAATATTTTAACCTATATATAATTTAAAGGCCGTGTGTATGTTAATTACGTTGTTAGTTTTAATTATTTTTTGCTACCTCAAAAAGTAGGGTAAGTATATATATTTATTTGAGAAAATAATTTTTACGGAAGATTGAGGTTGGGATTGTTTAAGTTAAGTTATCAGATCATAAAGAAGTAGTCATATCTTTAAATAAAATCGATGTTAGATTAAAACCAACAATAATTACGACTAGACCAATACATTCTCAAGGAATTGGTGATCTCTATAATGCATTTGCAGTAGTTAATTGGCAATTTCTTGACTCAAAAAATATCAAATTATCTCAATAAAATTTTCCCCATAAAAAATAAAAAAGTATTAACAAGAATGTGAATGTAAAACGGTTTACTCTGCAGTTAAAACAAATGCGAGATTCTCTTCATTTTTTTTGAAGACTTTGAAAAACAATATCCCAACTCACAGTTAAAAAGTTATGTTAAAACTATGCGACAAAATTACAGAAAAGCAATTATTGACCCAAAAAAAGAATATTACACAATAAATTACATTGCAATTAACAATAATTCATGTTAATCCTATTGATATACAGGCTGTTCGGTCCAAGTCGCCCCGGCCGATAACACCTAAACTTACTTTTTATTTTCAAAAACTAAATTTTCAAAAAATACTATTCATTCCTGGCTTTCTTAGAAAATGCAGCAATTTTTTTAGCATATCCGGTGTAGCCGGAAACGCTACCAAATTTAGTTTTTCAAATGGAACACCTATGTTTTTTTGCTCGAAACAATAATAATTAGCATGAAAAATACGGTAAACCACTATTTATTACATTTTACTTTACAGAATGCACTCAGAAAACAATTTAAATTTTTGAATTTTATTGCAAATTTTAAAACGTAGGCGGATTTTACTTGTCAAGGTATCCATGCAAAAAGCAATGTGTCTGACAATGAGTGAATCCGAGAACAAAGAATACAATTTGAAGAAGCTTGGAAAATAGGACGTTCGGCTGAAGTCCATGAAACGCTACGAAAACACAAAAAATGGTGCAACACAAAAAGAATTAATACTGATGACAAATCTTTGTTAGCGTAGGTACTTTGTTGTTAGAAATGATAAACTAAAAGTTCCTAAAAGCCTGTGGGCTGAATACTCGATGCTCAAATCAACAATTTTTCTTTACGAATGTAAAGGTGTCAACGATATAAGTCATCCAATTTCAAACCTGCAGGTCTATTAAGAACTCCGACCCCAGCACAAAGATTCGAAACCATAGCTATCAATCTTCTCGGACCGTTACCAATGACCACTGAAGGATTACAATGCATCTTTGTGGTAGAAGATGTGTAGTAGAAAAAGCAAAAATGCCTCCAAAAAGAAAAGTCACGGACTTGCAGATTATCATGGCCAAGCTAACAGAAGAAGTGTCGAACATCCTCGATTCCGATTCCGCAGACGAACAAGCAGATTCACCCTGTAACTAAACCTAACCTTACTTTTAGAAAGCAATCTTTTGTCGCAGGCGGTCTCACACCGCCGTCGGACTTAGCCAATGATGGCAACCAAGACGAAGAAATGTCAGAACAGTGGGACCAAGAGATAGCACTGAAACAAAAACTCCTGTTGCCGCACTTTTATCGGCTCTGGGTGATATTGGTCCTGATCAAAACTCCGTAGGAGACAACTTCTATGAGGCTATTAGCATCCTCTAGACCAACTTTAGTCAAACGGGCATTAAAAAAGATGTAAAAAACGAACTCATCCAAAAATATCCAACTCCGGCAAATTGCCCTACCTTAAACGCAGTAAATTTTGACAGTGTCGAAGAATAAATAACTATTAAGGCGATATAGATTAAGACTTTAATAATTTATAAAAAATGGTTTGGAAGTTGCATTCTTGTTAGGTCTTCATAATTTTGTTTTAATTTTTGTTTAATAAAAAAAATATATTGGTTCACTGTTCCCTTTGGTCATGTTCACTGTACCCATACTGTAGGGGACAGTGGAACATTTTAATACAAACTTGTTTTATTTTTTCTCAAAGATCAGTATAAATCAATTAGGGTATATTTGAGAATTTTTAAATTTTTTTATTGATAATTATCAATAAAATTTAACGAATATAACGAAACCCAATAAAATTCCGAGATCGACAGTGATTATGACGATTTTAATCGAATCTCCCGTTTATTTTCTCAAGGTGAGCTTAATGATCTGATAAGGGATTTAGATCTTTCAAAGGAGCGAGTTGAGTTACTGGCTTCCAAATTAAATGAACACAAGAAGTATCATTTTACCGTCAGAGAGAACGTGATTTGTTAGCATATTTTTCTGAAGATAACAACCTTGTTTATTGCAATGATATTGGTGGTTTATTAACGGGAATAGATTTAGAAAAGTACGATCCCACAGAGTGGGGTCTATTTATAGACAGTTCCAAAAGAAGTTTGAAATGCGTATTGCTTCATATCATAATGGCAATAAACACGCTTGTGTTCCAATTGCTACACGAATGAAAGAAGAGTATAAAGCAGTTGCACTCCTTTTAGAATATTAAAACCATCAATGGTTTATATGCGTTGATCTCAAAATGGTTAATTTTCTGTTAGGACAGCAAGGTGGATATACTAATTTTCCATGCTTGATGTGTCTCATAGCGGAAATAACGAGCACCACCGTGAAACTACCCTTTTCGCGACGCAGGCGTCGTTAGTTTTTCAAGCTTAAATGTTTACTCTTGCTTTGTAATTTTTTTAACTTTACCTAATAAATAAACGTAATTTTACATTACATCTGACGGCCATCGTGCTTTTCAAGATTTCCACGCCAAACTTCCGGTAGCCATTTTGTAACCAGGAATCTGGGAATCCTAGACTAGGAGACATCCTAGCGACTTTTCGTTTTGTGCAACATAAAATTTAGAAGCGTCACGTGTTTTTTTCGTATGTCAAACGACGATCTTGGCAAATGTATCCCATATTTGCTCCGGTCAAGAGGACAAATTAAGACCCATCACACGGTAAGCCAAAATACACAAACGATAATGTCGACGGTTGCAATGACCGATGAGCAATTCCGAGCTCTTATGGAAATGATGCGGATGTAAATCTAACGCACAAAAGTAATTCAAAATGGGAATTTTTCACTGATGTCTTTGTTAGCCATGCACGTGCTCTTCTTTCCCAACTGCCAGAAACCCCAATACTGTCCGAGATTCACAAGCTGGACATGATTTATGGTCTTCTAAACAGAAGAATTCGTAAGCAGCTTTCCAAGGACGATGTCAGTGGTTTCACTGACCTGATTAAAAAAGTTCGACCAATTGAAGATAGCTTTTTGGAAGAGGATAAATATAAGGTTACGACCAAAAGAAACGAGGAAAAAAAGAAGCCGCGTCCAAAGTGCACGCTCGAATAACATTACGAACAATGTTGTCTAACATAAGAGCACGATCGTAAAATCAACCACGTTGATCTGCTGTCATTAATTCAAGATGTCCGAATTGGAAAAGCAAAAATCCAGTTTCTGCTGCTGCTTCTTCGTTGGACGTATCACCGGCAACGGACGAAGTGCGTCTCGGCCATTGTTGTCCATTACCGTAATTGGAAAGAGAGGACTCGCGTTTCTCAACACGGGTATAGTGTCGCCGGCAGTAAACTGTATAAACATCTTCTATAACAAGGTGTACCACATGTGGTATTAAGCTTAAAAATGACTCTAGCTGCCGGTTTGCATTCTCCAACCATAGGAGTCAATTTCTCAAAATACCTTAAATTCAGGGGAGATTTTTTTTTTTCACATTCATCACAGATTACCTTCAAAAACTCAATCACTCACTCACTCACTCGCTTATTCGGTCACTTTCATCTTCACAAACTTGCAGTACTAAATATTATCTCATCTTCTTCATTCACCAAGCAGACATTCACAGAGGCATTCTCACTGCTTTTATCCTGATTCAAACTCGCAGACACATAAGAGGCAGGGGACTCTTCATTAGACGAATCATAATTTGATTCAGAAGAACCAAATTCTGATTCGGCTAATGATATAATTATTGAGGGAATAGGTACCATCCGTGCTTGTAAATTCACCCATATATTTAACTCAATCATCCTTCACCAATCGTTCGCAATGCCTTACACAACTTGCCCACACGTCGACCGTAAAACAAGGAAGAGCTTCGTGCCATAAAGCCAGGACCATATCTTTTGAGCTGGGTCTTGCTCGAACATGTTTATTATAGTAATTGCTACAATGCCCCCATGCCAATTCAATCCGATTTTATTGGCAATGGTATGGGGGCAGTCTAAGAACTACTACTCCATTTCTGCTGAGCAATTCATCAATACCATACTTTCTTTCGCTCATTGACCCCATTCCTTGGCATTATGAATGCCCAAAGCTCTTTATTGGCACACCCAGCATTAAAACAAATATTGCGCGGTTCTAGCCAGCTTTGCATGGCGGTTTTGACGAGTTAGAATTGAGTGGTTTATCAATTGTTATCGAATAATATAGAGCATTGTCCATAACGACAACACTCGTCCCATCCATTTTATGGATGGCCGGTAACAATTGATTTTCCACCCAATTCTTAAAAACGTCACCGTTCATTGTATTGTGGTAATCTCGATGGTTGTTTTTGCTGTCTAGAAATAAGCTACAACCAGCGAGAAAACCTAACTATGAACAGCCGGCATGCAAAACTGTCAAGCGGCTTCCCTCTGCTTCCCTACCTTTTTCTTGATTGTTGTTGTACAAATAAATAAGAAAAAATACTTTTGAAGTATAGACGCCGGCCATCATATGGCGTGGTAGTAATATCTCGATTACGTCTAAACCATTTGACCGCCTGTTATACTTTACAACAGCTAATGCAAGTAACACAGAAAACAAAGCACAGATAACAAGTGCTATGGTAAACTTACAACGCAAAAAAAGTAAATTGTCCGCAAAATTAACTACAAAATTAACGACTATTATTCTGGTTGTGATGGCAATATGTTTTATTCAATTTTGAGGCGAGCAAAGCTACAATTTATGTCACATTGTATAGCCGTGTGAAAAGGCTACGTGGTAAAATAAAAACACAAAGGGCGCCCCACACGACGAAGAAGTTAAATTGGCCGAAAGTTTAAAGACAAAGGAGAAATGGGATTTTGGCATGTCACACAAAGAGGTATTGGAAGCAGTTGGAGTCTATACTGCTGCGAATAAAAAGCAAACCAATTTTAAAGTACGCAAGAAAAAAAGCTACTGATCCGTTTTTAACTTATAGCATAGAGGAAATATATATTTCATATTTCATCTATGCTTATAGTTATTTCAACCTCTTAGAGAAGGTCTCAACAGAAAACAGTTTAACCGATAAACCTGAACGCATATGGAATTTTGACGAAACAAGTCTCTCAATAGACTCACAAAAAAGTAAGGTTGTTGACGAAGTAAATAAACCTACGAGTACCTCACAAATAGTTAGCTCCTCAGGCAAAGAAAATATCACTATTCTTGCCATGTGTAAAGCTGCAGGTGGTACCATATTAGATTATTTTCTAAAGTGCATATGTGTGGGATCAATGGTTTGCCCTGAAATGGACGGAATTTCCAGGCACTGTTTAAGCCTCTAGCTGTACTTGCAGCAGAAAAACTAACTCAGATGCAGGAACAATTGGGTGTTAACATCTTAAAAGTTAAATAAGATGGTAGAAACAAGTGGATATTAAAGTTCCGCAGGTATAGTCCAAGGGTGTTACACTGCTATTGAAAAGAAAAGCGTACAAGAGTGAGCCCAATTTTGGCTGGATTGTTATATTGTAAACTTATCTTTTAATCGTTGTTACTTAGAAACCTGGAACCACACACCTTGCTGATACCTGGATTTTATCGATGTATTTTTTTTCAGAGATTTTTATGTGTTTATCGGTTTCTGTCTGTTAAGAGCAATGTTACATGCACAAAAATAGTCTGGTAACTATGGCATAACCTTATTGATTGCTGTAAAATTTTACAATAGTGAAATGTCAATTTTACAATATCGATATGTCATTTTTACTGACATATCGATATTGTAAAATTGTAAACTCGCTCGGATTTCAAACTGACATCTGCAGCTGTCATTACATCCTAGAATTTTTGGATTTAATTTGTTCCAATTTTTGGCTTATTCGACAGAAACCGATAAAATCTTGAACAAACCTCGGATGTAATAATGTCATAACAGCCTTAGATGTCTTAAAATCCTCGCTACTCGTTCGGATTTCAAACTCACATCTGCAGCTGTTATGACATTCATTACATCCTAGGTATTAGTAGCTATTAAATTTTTCTATTCAAAAAAGCGTACACGTATTGACTTTTGTAAATGGGACATACAGGGTATATCAGAAAGAAGTGTGTTAATTTTAACATGTAACATCTCAAAAAATTAAACACTTTTTCTATTTGTAATTTTTCAATAAAAGCTTTCTTTGATTTAAAATTTGGAAAAGATGACATATCAAAACGTATGCCCGCTTTCACAAGATATCCCCATGACAGCATTTTCACCGATACCTGGTACTTCACAAGATACCCCCATAACACCATTTTTACTGGCACCACATTTATCATTGATGAGCTCATTAAGAAGCAGTCCTACAGCAGCACCTCGATCTACAGCAGAACCGACACAATCATGTGTTGAGTACGGCCTACTCAACAATCTGTGATAGCGGTGATGTTAGAAAGGTTGTCTTCGCACCAAAGACGAGATATGGAAAACCATTTGAATGAGGACGTTGTTGGAACAGCAAAACCAACAGAACTGTCACGTTTTTTAGCCTAGCAAAAATTGTTCTCAAAAATGCATGATATACAAAATTATTTTATTATGAATGATAACAAATTTCAAACAGAAAAGAAGAATGCAAAAATTACTCGAAATTTAACTCCCAATTAAAAAAACAAACAAAAGTTGTATTTTTTTTTGGTGTTTGTACCTTCCATTTACCTTAGACCAGGTGGTGGTACCTACCTGGTCGTTGTACCTCCTCACCAGCAGGTATGTGTTTTAGTATAGAAACGCATGAAAAAAGTGTGTATGCCTTTAGCGGGATTCTTTGTATGACGAGGCAAACATCTAATTCACTACACCAATGTAGCTTTGTTTCCAATGTACACAAAATGATGTTGATATGCGACTTTTAATCTTGCAAAGGTCAGGTGTTATCTTTATCAATGTGTAAAGGTTACACAAGGTGAATGAATAATGATAATAACTGAAAAGCTATTTTAATTTTCTGACAAATGATATAAAATTATTCAAAGAAAGGAAAATGAACAAAAAGAAAGAAAGAGCTAAGCGAGCGAACGAAAGAAAGAGAGCGAGAGCGCATCAGCTTCGCCTAGCCTAGCCTTGCCTCGTTTTGCCCCTCTCTTTCTCGCTCTCTCTCTCTCTGATGATGATGATCCTCATAGAGCGAGCGAGCATACTCGAGCATTACCGACTTTTTTGGTTGTTAACAATTGTTTGTTAATAAAAAACATTAGTCTATTTAATAATCATGGGTACGTATGTTTCAAAAATTACTCAATTATTTAATTGTAATAGTAATGCAGTTGTGGAAGGTGAAAAAAAAAAAAAAACTTAGAGCGTCTCTGTCCATGTGTTATGTGTAAAACTTCTGGTGTAATTGACATCGACATCACTGACTCCAAGGATGACAATAAATGTGATCTGCTGTCTGTTTGAACAATCAGATAATTTAATCTATCTCTATAAAAGCAACACATTTTAGTCTTGTTGTTCATTAGTCTGTTGCAAATCTTAGAGTGCGTATTATTGGAAGACACTAAGGTCTTGATAAAAATAGAATTAATAATTAAAAAGAATATGAAGTTGTTAAAATTTAATTGGGTTTCGTTGTTTTTGTTGCTACAGTTGTTAGTGTGGTGTGCTCGTAGTACAACAACACAACAACAATGTAGTCAAGTACTCTTCGTCCAAGTCGTTGTAGTCGTAGTCATCTCCACTATCTTTACTACACATTTATTTGTGTTTCTTTTGTTAGTAAGTATTTATTATTCTTAACTACCTAATCAAAATAAGAATGGTTTTTTGATCTTTTGTCTTTTACTTGTTTAGTTATAAAATGAATACAAATTCTAACACCAGCAGTAGCAGCAGCGATTAAGTAAATTTAAGTAGATTAATTAAAAGGCAGAAAGATCATCATAAGTTTATAACTTATTATAAAAAAGTTATTCGAATGTTAACGAATTGTGTAAAAAAACATTCAAAAAATGAATCTGTTTTGTACATAACATAAATTTTACGAGAATTGCGGTTAACCCGATTCACGAATTGGTCCTTACCGTTTGGTAACACCCCCTCCATCCCCATAAGGGTCACGGGGTAGATGGACTAGAGAGTCCTAGTTAGCCAAAAAAGCAAGTTGATTTCAAGATTTCGAGTGTCTTAGTCCAACATCGCAAGCATCTCTCATGTCACATTAGTGCAAAAAAAAGCGGTACCGCTATCCCCTGTGAGAACGGTCTACCCCTACGTCGAGATACACATAATTGGGAATTGGGTAAGTCGACAAAACAATTTACTAGTTCGTGAATCTCGACATCGATCGACAGATCACCATGTCCGCTTAATTGTTCTAAAATTAAGTGCCCTGGTAGTCAACAGAATCAAATTTCGAGTATTTGGAAAACATATCTGCATAATTTAAAAAGACAAGTCTCAAGAGCTAAAATTTCAAATAAAAAAAAAAAAACAAATCAAACTGTTGCTTGGCAAGATGTTGACTCATGCTTCAAGAAACGCGTTAGAACTGCTATAATATCAAATGTGAACATTAAAGAACCTGAAGAATTTTTAAAAAAAGCATTTTCATTAAGAAACTGAGTTAGAGGAGTTTCAAGAAAGGGATAGTGACTGGACTCTATATGAAATTCTACATTTAAAAGTTAATGTTAATCAAATTACGCTGATTTACTAGTATTTATTCAAAACACAAAAAGTGTACTCGTACTAAATATTACAAAATCTGATCCATATTGTTTTCTGTGGTCAATAGTTTGTGCATTTATACCCAGCAAAAAAGAATACAAATGTTTGTCGCACCAATTCTTATCCTCATTTCAGTACTGTTTTGAAATACGAAGATCCTAATTTTCCGATTGCTTTGAAAAACATTCCCAAATTTGAAAGAATGAATTGTTTAGCAATAAATGTCTTTTACCTTTAGTTTTAATAACGAAAAGCGTTTTTTCACCGAGTATAAATTTACTAATGCTACCAAGCATTATAACAGTAGCAGCAGCAGCTGCTCCTCTTCCTCCTCCTCCAGTAAAAAAAGGAAATGTTATTCAAAACGAATGGTTTATCATTTTGCTTATATCAAAGATTTATCCAGATTAGTTGGTAAACAAATTGGTAATGTTAAAAACAAAAAGTAGCTGTGCGAGAGATGTCTAAATCATTTTCATACCAAAGAAAACTTAACTAAATATTTAGAAGATTGCAAATTGTTAAATAAAACAAAAATTATTTTACCTGAAGAACATGCAAATTTTGTACACTTTAGACATTTTAAACACAAAAAAATGATTCCATTTGACATTTATGCTGATATGGAGAGTATTTTAAAACAACAATCTAAGCAACATTATCCCATTAACAGCAGTACACAAATATATCAATTACATGAACCATTTAGTGGTGCCTATTATTTAAAATGTTCCTATGACGACTCTTTATCAAAATTCAAAATTTACACCGGTCAGGATTGTCAAATTTGGTTTATTCATCAACTTCATGCAGCCGGTTCCAATGAAACGTTTAGCTTTACAAGGGGAACAAAATTTTCTCTCATCAAAATCTTGTCGTATATGTGGTAATTTGTTTGAAATTGATAAAAAAAACAACTAAAAGATCACTGTCATTTGACTGGTAATTATTTAGGTCCAGCTCATAATAAATGTAATCTACACTTTCAAGATACATTTTACGGTACCAGTAATATTTCATAATGTTTCCGGATACGATAGTCACTTTTGTGTTAAAGAACTAAGTACCGAAATTCCAGGAAACATAAATTTACCACCGCTTAATAAAGAAAGTTACATTTCATTTACTAAATTTGTTGAAAACACCAAGATTAAGTTTTAGATTTTTAGATTCATTTAGGTTTATGCCAACAAGTTTAGAAAAATTAGCTTTCTTTTTAGATTTCGTGTTCAAGAATTAAACAATATTGAAGACAAGAAAACGGTTAAAAAAGCAAAAAGAGTTAAGACCTCTGTATTGAAATTTATTAAATTTGAGAATAATTTTGATTGTTTCATCACGTTGAACATGAGGTCTATCAAAATTTAATTATTTCAAAAAATCATAGTGTCTTTAGTGTTCAACAACTGGCATTGAGTCCGTATGATAACAAGAGGATCATCTGTCAAGCAACGACACATACAAAACCTTGGGGATATTACGATTAGTTTTTTTCTTTTTTTTTTGCTTTTAATTAATCTACTTTATTTCATATTTTGAAAATGATGTAAGTTTAATTCTATCTAACTTTTAGACATTTTTTATGTATATATATTTTTGCTTTTTTTATAGACACAAAAGACTTTTATTAATACTAACATCTGGGACAATGTGTTTACACAACAAGAACGCTTCTCTTCTGTTATAAAAACACCATCACGACCAATTGTACCAATAACATTTATTGATATAGAATGGTATTCTAAATCATACACACTAGGTGGTGTAATGAATGCAAGAAATGTTTTTGTTTCTGTCAAAATTCGTTATACAAACAGGGTGGTAATAAATGAGAAACACCCAAGTTCTTTTTCCTAACAGAAATATTAGGCAACAACAACGGCCCATTATACAATAACAATGAGGCTAACATTCTATGCGATTTATATTGCATGGAAACACTAATTGATAGTGGTTAGAATAGTAACTTTTTTAAATCAATAAGTTAAGCTTTTTTTAATTTTTTCCTCAAACTTGTAGAATAATACTCCTTGGAATATCACCGATAACAACAGATTGTACCACCTTCCAACTGGCAAAGAACTATATATAAGATCAAGGAGAAGTTGATTGCGTCAACACTTTAAATTGTACCAGGCTCAACCAACAACCCAGTGGGATTGGGAGATCATGGGGAACACTATGCTTGGTGCTGTATCGAGGACGCTATTGCTGCCAATTGTTAGTGTAGGATTAAAGTGGGTTTATATTATCATTTACAATATATTCAGTATTACTATTCACTTAGATGTAAAAGAAAACATTTTTCAATATAATACATTTATTTTGTGCAATCTACAGATTTTTTAATCATATTATAATTTACCTACCCTATCCCGTGTACCAACAATGTAAATTGTTTTGCCGACTTTTATCTGTTGGTTGAGCCTTGCAATGTTTTTTTCAGTGCACTTTTGCGATACCGATGTTTTAAATTAATTAAAACTGCGGTATTATCATCGTGACTATATAAAGAAGAACTCGAAAAATCAATCAGTAAAAAGTCTACAAAGAAGCTAAAGCTAAGCCTCGACACGAAAAATACAGCCCATGTGGTCAAATTGAATAAAATTTATAAAATAACTACGAATAATGTATGGTCCTAATGTTTTGGGAATTTTTTTAGAATGAATGTTATTGTTATTATATCAAAAAACATATTCCAGGCATTACTTAAATATTCGCTATTTGCTGAGAACGAAGATCTTGAGGCTTAAGATAATCGGTTATATAAAATTCGAGTACTTGTCTTGCATTTGAATTCTAAATACAAAAAAATTTTGCGGCCTGTAAAGTCGTAGATGTTGATGCAAGTATGATTCCATTCAAAAGACAATTAGGATTTGGACAGTATATTCTTGGAAAAAGACAAATACAGAGTAAAAATTTTCAAGATGTGTGATCAAAAAGAATATACACATTCACTTTCAATTTATCAAGGGAAAAGTGATCCAAATAGTAAAGCCCTTCCTACCAATGAGGTACTCCAGTTCTGCGAGGGTTATTTAGATCATGGTAGAATTCTAGTAACAGATCATTTTTATACAAGTCTTGATTTAACAAGAGAACTACTTAACCGAAATACACATAGAGTGGGAACATTGAGAAAGAATGGAAAAAGATTACCAAAAGAAATTATGAACGGCAGACTGCCAGACTGCTGCTAAAATGATAAAGAAAGTGACTTCATTTTGTGCTTCGAGTCCAGATAAACCATGGGTTTGATTGTTGTACCCAAGTGTGACATGTGCCCATAAAGGATTATGACGGCCCCAAAACAGTAAGTGTCTTCTAGTCATTTTGAATAAACCTTTTTTTTTATAAAACCCCAATGACTTTCAATCCCACCTTGTAACATATGTCATAGGATGCCACAAAAGCGCCTCCATGTTTTAAGAGGCCTCGCTACCTAACTCTCTTATGGAACATTCAATGTATAGTTCTGCCATTGTAGAGAAGAAGTTAATCAACGGATTTTAGTAAAACCGAGATTATTTGAAAGAGCATTCAATTTTGTACACTTTAACCGAGCAAAATTTCAAAATTTTGTTTCTAAAGTCATTAAAAAACAAAACAAATTTTCCATAAAAACGAGAAATTCGTCAAACCGTCTAATTCAAAAACTAAAAAGAATTTGCGGATTTCCCTCGGTTAAAACGTAGAAAATATACATTTATGACGATAGTTTTAAATTCGACGAAAATATCTTAATAAATAACAACGTTATCGTGGTAGAATTATTTTCAATCTAAAATTCCGTTTAAAATTTGTAATTTACAACCAGCCCTTAAAAGCTAATGCCTGCAACCGCAAGTACAATCTCTAAATTACTTTATGGTACTACCCGCATCCAACCGTTCGGTACCTGCTAAGTTACTTGGGATAATTTTGTTTCCAAACAGCCGCTTTTCTGTGGATTCTGTAGTAAATAAACGAATACCTACATTGTGATGTCGATATCTATCCATTTTATTTTACCTTTAATTATTATTTTTTATAATTTTCAGCAAATTTTAATTAAATAACCTTTGTTTAATAATGTTTATAACACATCTAACAGTAGTTGTGATTGAAGAGATAGGTATAAATTGACAAAACTGAAACCGATCCCCCGTGGCTCCAATCCGTTCCCCGCTACCCTGCTCAGGCATCTTAGACAAATTTTCTAACAAATAGAAATAAATTACAATCATGATTGGTACTACCCGATACAGGGCCAGTTACATGTCACCCAAGTGTATGGACTGGCCCAAATAAAATTAAAATTGAAAAAAATAATAAGTTTTGGGAAACTAAAATGACATTACGTTTTCAAAATTTTTATAAAAAATGTTTATCGCCTGAACTTGTAAATCCTCGACAAACTCGTACCATGCCAATTCGGGATATCTTCCTATAATGTAAAATATTTTAAATAAATAAACTATTTAAAACTGAATCTGCACAAATTTATTCAACATTTTTTTAAATACTTTTACCATAAATTACATATTCACAAAAAATTATTTTCCAAATTTTTCCAATTATTTTACAATCATAACTTTGCTTATGAATAACAAGAAAAATGCTTTTTAGATGACGTTAATTCATTAATTAAACAAATATATTATAGTATTTGTTTTTTATTTTAAAACATTATTATTACAAGATTTGTAGCGAGTTTGCTTCAAATAACAAAACCCATGCCTCAAACTTGCAAACTGATCGAACTGATCATAAATGTAGATAGTAAATTACTTGGGAGGGTAGCCGGACACATTTACAGCACTGGCTCTATTGGTGACAGCTAAATTCGACTTACGAAATTTCAAGGTTGTGTTGGGTAGCGAGGCGTCTTAAGTGGGATTCCGCAAGGTTCCGTCTTGGGTCCTTTGCTCTTTGTAGCATACATAGCTGACCTAAGAAACGTGATTAAATAACGGTTTTTCAATCCTTGTCTGACCCAAAGTCTCCCATCCATCACCTGTTCTCCCTAAACACGGATCAACGAACCCGAGGACATCGTTATAAAATAGCCAAGGATCAATTTGTGACAACTCCAAGACAGTTCTTTATCGTCAATAGAGTTTTTGATCACTGGAACTAACTTTCCAAAGAAATTGTCGACATTCATAATAGCTTTCGGCCTCTGCCCGATCGCCTTCATTAATAATAATAATAATAATAGTAAAAAAAAAAACAAATTATCATATAGTAAAGGAAATAACAGCTAGATGAGTCAATAATAAATGATCCAATAATAATAATGTAGATAGTAACCCGTTTGTACTCCAGGTGGACACAGTTTCAACGATATCCGCTATAAACAAGTTAACCAAATATAAGGTACAGCAAGCCACAACTATCTGTAGGGAGTACACAGGTAAAATCAATAACGCAACCGTTAATGTATAATTTGCAAAATCTATAAAATTGCATGTTATTGATAGTGGCATAACTAATTTGTTAGGTAAAGATTTTATGCACGCTTTCAACACTTCTTTTCATTCAGCATGTATATATAAATATATTATTTTATTAAATCCGTTAAAGGTCATATTAAACGGGTTATTGGCGAGTCATTTGACATACGAGGAAATGTTTACGCTGTTATTAGTTGGGATAGAAGCTATTCTCAATTCGCGGCAGTATATGTAGATGTCTTGCTCTCAACAATCTCGGACGATTCTAAGCTATCCGATAACCATGTTTCGGTTATAGCAATGACATCAACAACTGAAAAGGTGGCCGAATTAAAAAATGTATTTAGCTTAGAGTTCATACCCCCAACATTTTAGCAGAACAACGAAAATAATGAAGCTACGAGGTAAGCGCCAGAAATTCCCGGCCTGATATAGACGCCGATGTTTTATCGGGATAAAATTTTGTCTTCTTATAAGCACATAACATAGTAAGCTGTAGAAAAAAAATTGATCTCTTAAGTCAAATAGTTGTCAATTGTAAGCATTTTGAATAAGACGCGTTTACAAAAATGTCTCAGGTGAACCAAATTGAGTACAGGGCAGTCATAAAATTCTTAACCAAAGAAGGGCTTACACCTAAAATTATTAAAGACAGACTCGATGGCGTATACGGTCAAAGTTCCCCGTCCTATTCTGTGGTGAAAGAATAGGCAAAACGTTTTCGTATGGGACAGGAATCCCTAGAAGATGACACAAGACCTGGTCGGCCAGTAGAGGTGATAACCAAAGACAAAGTTGCCTTTGTGGAAAAACTAGTATTAAGTGACCGACGTTTGAAGGTCAAAGAAATATCAGAAATGACCAAAGTTTCTGATATAAGTGTACGCCGAATCCTGCATGACCATTTGGGAATGCATAAAGTCAGTGCAAGATGGGTTCCCAAACACCTTTCAGCGCTTCAAAAATAACGTCGTGTGGAGTGTGCTCGATCATTTTTGGAACTGTGTGGAGCCGACCCAAACCCTATATTGGAAACGATTGTAACCGGAGATGAAACTATGGTCCTTTATTATGACCCTCTATCAAAAAGAGAATCAATGGAATGGCGTCGTAAAGGTGAGGCACCCCCAAGAAAATTTAGAGTCTGCCAATCAACAAAAAAAGTGATGGCCACGATCTTTTGGGATTGTGAAGGGATACTTTTAATAGATTTTAAAGAAACTAATACCACCGTTAACGGCATGTATTATGCATCATTACTTTACAAACTTCGAGACAATATTCGCGAAAAACGTCGAGGAAAACTGACCAGAGGCGTGTGGTTGCTGCACGATAATGCGCCCGTTCATACTGCTGGTGTTACACAAGCTGCCATCTTGGATTGTGGGTTCCAACAGATAGATCACCCCCCCATATAGTCCAGATATGGCTCCAAGTGATTATTATTTACTATTTTTTTAAAGGGATTGAATTGTTAATTAAGCGATGTAATAAGTGTAATGAAGTTAACGGAGACTACATTGAAAAATAAAAAAAACATGTTACTGTAGTTTGAATTTTTCATAGTCAGGCCGGGTAATTCTGGCTTTGCCCTCGTAAGTCTCGAATTCTATTCTACCCGCTAGTTTTATTTTCACCCAAAATAAGATTCTCACACAAAACCCGAGTTTTTCAACACGAATATTAAAAAAAACAAAATTCACACAGAAAAACCACGTGTTTTTTCTCCCCTTGCAACACCAGAAACAGGTATAAAAGACGATGTCTATCTATAAAGCAGAATAAAATGTAGTACACCATTTGCATGTGTATTAAATGAAATAGATTTGGGTTTCTAGATTTTAGTAAGTCACCATAATAATTATCAAAATGAATGATTTTTGTTCGATTCCAGAAACACAGTAAACGAGCCTAGTCTCTACTTTTTCATATTCATTATGGATACTGTTTTATCTTTTTAATGTGCTGTTGAGTCTGTCGTAATACTAGTACTTTAATAGTTATTTCCATTTGGCATTCATAGTTATTAACGAAATTTAATATAAGAACTGCATGAGTATTTAATTACATTTCCTGTACTAGTAATATAGAAAACTAAATTATCAATTTTAACAGAATATATGAATGAACCACAACCAGGACCTTCGGAGATGAGTCGTCATTCAACTCCCTGTCGTTGAAGCTAAACCGTCGAAATTTTTGAGTAAATTTTATAAAAGCGAAAGTGGTATTTTGCATATTTTTAATGTAATTATTATATCAAAGAACCCAATGAAGGTTTTGTTCAACACAATTGCACATGGGCGCCCTCAGAAATTATGGACAGGGGGGGGGGGCAAAAAAAAAAGTCGAAATTAATAATAACAGTTTCATTTGTCTATTTTCATATCACTCAGTTTGTGATAAAAATGTAAATATTAGTTTCTTATTTCGATCATGAAAATTTAAGTTGGAACGTGTTTGTGAAAAACAAAAAAAATCTTTTTTTATATCAAATATAACAACCACTATCGTCCCAGGGGGGGCAACGGCCCCCACTGCCCCCCCCCCCCTGTGGGCGCCCATGCAATTGCATTACATTTGCCAAAGTAATAAATAGTATAGAAAACAAATTAATTACAATATTTTCCAGGTCACGGTGATGAAAGACCTGAAATCCAGACTCGGCTTATAAAAGCCCAAAAACGTAAGTTCGAATCTCAATCCTTAGTTGTTATAGTGATTTTTTTCGTTACAGAAATTCCAAGTCTCAAAAGAAGGAAACATCAACTTAAGTTTAAGTTGTAAGTGGCTCGCAATCTTTTAATAAAATATAAGTATTTCTGTAGCTATCTTATCCCAACTGGGTATTACAAAAAAGAAAATGGCGTTTAAGGAGGAAGAAGTTAAATTGTATAACTTGGCCAGAGCATTAAGGAATAGAGCTAAAAAAAATGCTAAAAATAAAACAATGCGCCATTTGATAGGACTTACTCCTGTTCAGCAACGCTTTTTAGAAAGTCATTTGAGAAATTATAAGTGTAAACCCAAGGCAAGAAGTTTTACGTTTGAGGACAAGGCTGACGCCATTGCCATTCATAAAAGCAGTCCTCGAACGAATAGGCTTCTTTCCAAAATGTTTATACTACCGTCAGAACGCACACTGAAGGCAACTCTTGGTAAAGTTGCTATTCTGGGCATTTCAAATCACATGATCGAAGCTGTCAATCGGCGGGTAAGGCTCAACGAGAATATTTGTGTCCTCATCTTTGATAGATACTTCAAGATAGATAGAGATACTACAAGATCTGAAGAAATTGCTAACCATGTTGCTGTCTTTATGATTCGTGGCGTTTAAAGATAGTGGAAGCGACCTGTAGCTTTTGCCTTTTGTAAATATGCGGTTTGATAATTCAATGACTAAAGAAAAGTTAAGAAAATAATACGGGAAGTCTGATCCTTCGCATGGTATGGTCCACAAGTGGTTTACTGAATTTCTTTGTGGTCGTACTAGCCTTAATGAAGAAATGACAAACAAAAACAAAATCCATCATCCATTTCCGTCTTCACAAACTCACACAGGAGCGACACATCATGATCTTGTATTGGAAGACCGTCGAATTAAGATACGCGAGATAGCTGAGAAAACAGACATCTCAACTGAACGCGTATTTAATATTTTGCATCAACATTTAGGTATGAGAAAGTTAGCAGCAAGCTGGGTGCGACTGCTGACAGTCGAACAAAAACGGAATCGTGTGACCATTTCAAAGCACTGTTTAGAGACGATATGTAACCGTTGATGAAACA